AGGGATGCAGGGATGGTTTATCATATGCAAGTCAATAAATGTGACACACCACATAAACAGAATTAAAAACAAAAATCACATGATCATCTCAACAGACACAGAAAAAGCATTTGGCAAAATCCTGTGGGTGAAAGATTACCTCGGTGCTGAAGCAAGAGACTGAAGGCACAGACTGTTTCAGTATAATAAAGAAAATAGAATAAGAATAGTCATAATACAAACTAGATATAGAGATGATCATGGACAATTATCAATTATTATAAACATTATTTAATCATTAGCTTTTAATATTACTCTTTGTTGCATTACTAATATAATCTAGGAATAACTGGCAGGTATAGGGTCAGGTGCTGAAGGGACATTGTGAGAAGTGACCTAGAAGGCAAGAGGTGAATCTTCTGTCATGCCCACATAAGGGCCACTTGAGGGCTCCTTGGTCAAGCAGTATTGCCAGTGTCTGGGAAGACACCCAACACTTAGCAGACCGCGAAAGGGAGTCTCCTTTCCTTGGAGGAGTCAGGGAACACTCTGCTCCACCAGCTTCTTGTGGGAGGCTGGATATTATCCAGGCCTGCGTGCAGTCATCCGGAGGCATAAACCCCTCCCTGTGGTGCTGTGCTTCAATGGTCATGGTCCTTGTCCACTTTCATGTTCCTCCCGTACTCCTGGTTCCTCTTTGAAATTCATAGTAGAAAGCGGTCGAAGAAATAGTGAAAGTCTTAAAGTCTTTGATCTTTCTTATAAGTGCATAGAAGAAAATGCTGACGTATGCTGTGTTCTCTCTCTGCTTGGGCTACCTAAAAGGGAAGGGCCACCTGTCCTATGATCACATGACTTGCTTCACCTTATCAATCACTTAGAAGATTCACCCTCGTTACCCTGCCCCCTTGTCTTGTATGCAATAAATATCAGCGCACCCAGCCATTTGGGGCGACTACCAGTCTCCACATCTTGATGGTAGTAGTCCCCCAGGCCCAGTTGCTTTCTCTTTATCTCTCTGTCTTGTGTCTTTATTTATTACAATCTCTCATCTCTGCACACGGGGAGAACACCCACTAAGCACCGAAGGGCTGCACCCTACAAAATCCACTATCCCTTTATGATTAAAACCTTCAGCAAAATCGGCATACAGAGGACATACCTCAATGTAATAAAAGCCATCTATGATAAATGCACAGCCAACATAATACTGAATGAGTAAAAGTTGAAAGCATTCCCTCTGAGAACTGGAACAAGACAAAGATGCCCATTCTCACCACTTCTATTCAACGTAGTACTGGAAGTCCTAGCCAGAACAATTAGAAAAGAGAAAAAAATAAACGGCATCCAAACTGGTAAAGAGGAAGTCAAACTGTTGCTGTTTGCTGATGATAGGATCATATACCTAGAAAACCCCAAAGATGCCTCCAAAAAGCTCCTAGAAATGATAAACGAATTAGCAAAGTTTCAGGATACAAAATTAAAGTACACAAATCAGTAGCTCTGCTATACACTAATAGCAACCAAGCTGAGAATCAAATCAAGAACCCAACCCCTTTTAAAATAGTTGCAAAAAATGAAATACTTTAGAATATTCCTAACCAAGGAGGTGAAAGACCTCTACAAGGAAAACTACAAAACACTGCTAAAAGAAATCATAGACAACACAAACAAATTGAAACACATCCCATGCTCATGGATGGGTAGAATTAATATTGAGAAAATACCATACTGCCAAAAGCAATCTACAAATTCAGTACAATTCCCATAAAAATGCCACCATCATTCTTCACAGAACTAGAAAAAACAATCCTAAAATTCATATGGAACCAAAAATGAGCATGCATAGCCAAAACAAGACTAAGCAAAAAGAACAAACCTGGAGGCATCACAGAAGCTGATTTCAAACTATACTATAAGGCCATAGTCACCAGAACAGCATGGTACTGCTAAAAAAAAAAAACAGGCATATAGACCAATGGAATAGACTAGAGAACCCAGAAATAAACTCAAATACTTACAGCCAACTGACCTTCAACAAAGCAGACAAAAACATAAAGTGGGGAAAAAACAACCTATTCACAAATAGTGCTGGGATAGTTGGCAAGCCACATGTAGGAGAATAAACCTAGATCCTCATCTTTCACCTTAAAAAAATAAACTCAAGATGGATCAAGGACTTAAATCTAAGACCTGAAAATATAAAAATTCTACAAGATAACATCAGAAAAAAACCCTTCTAGACATTGGCCTAGGCAAAGATTTCATGACCAAGAACCCAAAAGCAAATGCAACAAAAACAAAGATAAATAGGTGGGACTTAATTTAACTAAAGACCTTTTGCACGGCAAAAGGAACAGTCAGCAGAGTAAACAGACAACCCACAGAGTGGGAGAAAATCTTCACAATCTATACATCCAACAAAGGACTATTAGCAAGAAAAAAAAATCACATCAAAAAGAGGACTATGGACATGAACAGACAATTCTCAAAACAAGATATACAAATGGCCAACAAACATATGAAAAAATGCTCACTAATGATCAGGGAAATGCAAACCAAAACCACAAAATAATACCACCTTACTCCCACAAGAATGGCATAATCAAAAATCAAAAAATAATAGGTATTGGCATGGATGCGGTGAAAAGGGAACCCTTCCACACTGCTGGTGGGAATGTAAACTAGTACAACCACTACGGAAAACAGTATGGAGCATCCTTAAAGAACTAAAAGGAGAACTACCAAGAACTACCATTTCATCCAGCAATCCCACTACTGGGTATCTACCCAGAGGAAAAGAAGTCATTATAGGAAAAAGATACTTGTATATGCATGTTTATGGCAGCACAATTCACAATTGCAAAAATGTGGAAGCAGCCCAAATGCCCATCAATCAACGAGTGGATAAACAAATTGTGGCATATATATATATAGAGAGAGAGAGAGAAAGAGAGAGTAGTATTCCATCATATATATGATATATGGATGTTGGATGTATGATGGAATATATCATATATATGATAGAATACTACTCAGTCATAAAAAGGAGTGAATTAATGGCATTCACAGCAACCTGGATAGGATTGGAGACTACTATTCTAAGTGAAGTAACTCAAGAATGGAAAACCTAACATCGTATGTCCTCACTCATGAGAGGTAGCTAAGCTATGAGGATGCAAAGGCATAAGAAGGATACAGTGGACTTTGGGGACTCGCGGGGGAAAGGGTGGGAAGGGCGTGAGGGACAAAAGACTACAAATTGGGTTCAATGTATACTGCCCAGGTGATGGGTGCACCAAATCATCACTCACAAATCACCACTGAAGAACTTACTCATGTAACCAACCACCACCACCTATGGAAATAAAAAATGTAAAAACCTATGGAAATAAAAATAAACGTAAGTTCCCATTTCAGGCCATCTCTTTGTGAATGCATATGACTGTACACTTTCAGAAAAAGGTATGTCAAATCTTGAATGCTTTGCTGCTTAGAAATTTCTTCTGCCAGATGCCCTAAATCATCTCTCTCAAGCTCAAAGTTCCACAGATCTTTAGGGCAGGGCCAAAATGCCACCAATCTCTTTGCTAAAGCATAGCGAGAATGACCTTTATCTAGCTTCCAATAAATTCCTCATCTCCAACTGAGAGCACTTCCGCCTGAACTTTAAAAAAAAAAAAAAAAAAAAAGGTTATCTACACAGTGTTTCTTAAATTCCAATAGAGTTTGTCGTGTATTTTTTATTATGTATTCCTGATTTTAATAGTTTAATTTGCCTGCAAAATGAACGTTAAAATATTTGTGGGTTTTTTTGGTTGTTGTTTCTTTTTTTTTTTTTTTTTTCTTGAGACAGGGTCTCACTCTCTCACCAGTGCAATGGTGTGATCCCTGCTCACTGCAGCCGCACATTCCCCGGCTCAAGCAATCCGCCCACCTCAGCCTCCTGAGTAGCTGGGACTACAGGCGCACACCATCACACCTGGCTAACTTTTGTATTTTTTGTTGAGATGGAGTCTCCCTATATTGCCCAGGCTGGTCTCAAACTCCTGGCCTCAAGCCATCTGCCTGCCTCGGCCTCCCAAGTGCTGAAATTACAGGCGTGGGCCACCACACCCAGCCTTATTTGTATTCTTTATGTCCAAGTGTACAATTCATTTCCGTATTATAAATGATCCACGCACAATCTCACGAAAACATTATCTACTGAAGTAATTTGAATTCTTCCATTTATCTTTCTGATCACTTACTGATTGAATGATTCATTTCTTCCAAAAAATGTATCCTTAGGTTTTTCTCAAACTACAATCTGTTCCGATTCTGGGGGCCTGTGTATTAAAATCTCCCACTAAACAGTATATCTCATTATCTCTGCATTTCTAATAGTGTCCCCTTTTCTTCAATTGCCGCCTTGTCCAGTGCACGGGTGCACTCTGAAAAAAAGGGGAACAGAAGGGTCCCTGGCTCAGGGTTAGCGGGACCAGGAATGGGGCTGAACCACAGAGTCGCCCCGGCCTCCCAACGTCTAGAGTGGCTACGCTGTCCCAGACAGACCGAGCGGCGGGCCGGAAATAGGGGCGGGACTTCCGGGGGTCAGCCGGCGCTGACTGAGAGGCGTTCGTGCCGCGGTGGTGCCTGCCTTCCAAGCGCGACCTGTTGAGGTGAGTTAGTTCCGCGAAGCTCCACGCCTCGGACCCCGCACCGGTTGTCCCTGATGCCCCCGTGGTTGGGGGGGGCCCAGGGGCTTCTCAGGGCTCAGACGGGGCGGGAGGCGAGACGGGGACCCCGGGCGGGGGCGGAGCCGCGCGGGGGGTTGTGGGAGCGCCGGGGGGGCGGGGCGGGGGCAGCTTGGCCTGGGCTGGAGGTCGGAGCCTCTGGGGGCGGCCTCCGGGAGGGGGGTCTCCGGGGAGACCCCGCGGTAAGGTCGCGGCTGGGGGCCGAGTGCGTTCTTGCGTATCGATGCCGCCGTTCGAGCTCGGGCGGAGCGACAGGGCAGCCGTGCGATGCGGTGGTTCCCTGCGCGTGGGAGACGTGGTGGGCTCGCGGTTCCTGGCGTTCGATGCGAAGTCGGAGATGCACAGAGCAGAGCTGGGGGAGAAACGGGGTTTCGGCCTCAGATGTCCTGCCTGGGAGGCCCAGTCAGTAGTGGAGTCGCTCTGCGTGTGGAGATACTCTGGGAAGGGTGGAGAGTTTGGGCCCGTTCTCCCCCAAGGGGCAAGGTGCTGAGGGATCGGCCAGGGCCCATCCTGTGGCTGCTTGCTGTGGGAGGGTGGCGGCTGGCTCTTCCAGTTGTCTGACTGCTCGGGCGGTCTTAGCCTTTAGCCAGGAGACTCCGCTTCCAAGCTTGTTCAGGCTGTTGGCCGAATCTGTGTTTGTTGGGGTTGGTCCTCAGAAGTGCTGGCTGCCGGCCTGAGTGGCCCTTAGCTCTCCGAGGTCCTTCCACGTGGCCCTCAGATCCTTCTCAGGCTTTTAAGGGCTCATTTGATTAGATTGGGTCCACCAGGGTAATTCACGTCCATAACCTTAATTCCCTCTGCAAAGTCCCTTTTGGTATGTAGTGTAACATAAGCACAAGTTCCAGGGATTAGGATATGGACCTGGGGGAGAGGGGGGCGTTTATTCTGTGTCCTGGTAAGCAAGATTCCACGCATAATGAAGTGAGAAAAATAAGGTGTGAAGCCATAGCATAGTTGGGTGTAGTTTATCATTTAAAGGCAAACGTATGTGTATATATTTGCTGTGTAAACCTAGATTAATCTGGAACGGTACACTAGAAACAAGGGAAACTGAGTGGATCTTTGGGGGATTTTTCACTATAAATTCTTTTTACCTTTTAAATTTTGAGGTGACTATGCCCCTATTCAGAAAAAAATGAGACTTTAAAATATTTTTAAATAAAATGAACTAAATAAATATTGCAGATTATTACATCTCCCCTTGGATTGGGAGAGGTTTCCCTCGAGGAAACTGGGCATCAGCACTGTAAGGGCAGGCAGATGCAGTCACTGAGGGCCTTGTCAACCCCATCACCTATGTCTCCTCTGTTTCTGGTGCTGTAACTGCTTTGAATCTCATCTCCCACCATTCTTCTGAACACCCTGCCAAGTTAATCTTGTGTTAGTTTTGTCTCTCCCGTCATGGAAATGTGGCCAGTGCTTCACCTTCATCTGGCAGCCAAGCTCCCTTACCATCTGTCCGTAGTGACCATCCTTGTGAGCTCTGTTCGTATCTCCTTGCCTTCTGCCTCAAGTTTTTCCCTACACTTGTCCTCTGACCTTTTCACCCAGACCACTAGTTGTGCATTCCTCCTTGATGGTGATCTGAGTCCAGGAGCATCACCCAGCCCTTCTTTCTTTCCCACATAGCTTATGGGTGACACCTACCATCACCTTGACTCCCTGCACCATCCTTCTGCCTCCTTTCTTAAGATCTCCTTTGCAGATCCCCTTGATCACACCCTCACTCTCAGCTGGTGCTCATGAAGAACAGAGGAGTCAGTGTCAGTACTTGTGAGTGAAGGGCTGAGGTATGTCAGTGCTCCCAGTGGGCACCCGGGCAGGGTATGGCGAGGGGGTAGGGAGATTCAGTAACCTGGTCCATGTGAGGAGCCCGTCATGCCTCCACATGGGAGTGTCCTGTCTTCATAGTTAGGACTGGAGATGAGCCCAAGTTTGTGAGTCTTAACAAGGATGTTGATGCCTCAAGACAGGACGTAATCACCAAGGAAGTTGGTGTCAGTGCAGAAGTGCACACTGGGGTGCCAACATGAAATGGGGAATGAGAGACTAGAAGGTAGTAGGTGGTGCAGTGGGAGAACGTCCCAGGCAAGTAAAGATGGGAACACCTGGTGAGGAGGCTTCCAGGATGGTGCAACTCAAAGACAGAATTGACCACTAGGGTTGGCAGGCGTTGACACATAATGGTGACATGTGGGGCTGCAGCACAGGCTGCCCCTGGCTGCTCAACCTTTGGAGCTGCTGTTCTCCCACTCTAGGTGGGTCTAGCGTGCCCAGCTTCAGAGCATTTTGAATGCCAGCAACAAGGAGTGATAAGAGTGGCCACAGAAGGACACAGGCCCACAGCAGGACACAGGCCCACAGCAGGACACTGGCCCACAGCAGGACACAGCCCCACAGCAGAGTAGAGGCCCACTGCGGGACACAGGCCCACAGCAGGACACAGGCCCAACAGGACACAGGCCCACAGCAGGATATAGGCCCACTGCAGGGTGTGGCCCACAGCAGGACCCAGGCCCAGAGCAGGACACAGGCCCACAGCAGGATACAGGCCCCACAGCAAGACACAGGCCCACAGCAGGACCCAGGCCCACAGCAGGATACAGGCCCTATGGGGGCTGCCCTCCTATCATGGTAGGCCTGGGCACCGTTACCCAACTTTGCCGTAGGGTCAGAATCTTGCCCCTTTGTAGCTGTGGCCCTGGCTTGTGAGTCTGTGTCTCCGTGGCTGACTCCCTCTTTTTGGGTCCAGGATCAGGGAACATAGCATCAGCCCCTGAGACCAGGCAGCACCAGGCCCTCTTCAGGTCTTGGGCTGCAGGGGTGGAGGAAGAGACCCCGGCCTGATGGGAGGATGAATCCCTAGAGCTAGCCTGTCTGTATACTCACCTGTTTTCTTGCTCGTCTTCAGGTCCTAGTCATGCCCAGCCTCAGAACTCGCCGTGAGGAGGCAGAGATGGAGCTCTCAGCTCCAGGACCATCCCCTTGGACCCCTGCAGCCCAGGCCCCTGTGAATGATGCTCCTGCTGCGACCCACCCTGGATCTGCAGCCTGTGGTCCCCCCTGCTGTAGTGATACTGAGCTGGAAGCCATCTGCCCTCACTATCAGCAGCCAGGTACTTTAAGAACAGTTCCCCCTGGTGCCCTTATTCTGAGGAAGTGATGTCCATGGAACCGTGTGCTTACCCCTAGGAGGCATTTGTGTCATCTGTGTCATCACAGGTGGGGAGGGTGAGGGGGGTACTCTGACTCAAGGAGCCAAGGCTGGATGTCAGCAAGGAAGTTGACCTGGCCTGGCCCCTGGCACCTTGAGCAGAACTGTGATTTCCCCACTTGACACAAAGAAGTATGACATGATGGCTACCAGGGTCCTTTGATTTGCCCTGTAGTCCTGACCCCTTCCCAGTTCAACAGCCAGGCTAGTGGCAACCCCATCCCCTCAGGACTCTCCTCTGGTCCAGGCCTTTGTACTGTGGTTACCCATTTAGTTGGCCATCTAAAGCCTAGGAAGAAAAGCTGAGGAGTTTCTTGTGGGGAGATAAAGGCATTCAAAAGCAGCCTTGGAGTGGGTGTGGTGGCTCATACCTACGATCTGAGCACTTTGAGAGGCCAAGGTAGGAGGATCGTATGAGGCCAGGAGTTGAGGACCAGCCAGTATAGCATGGCAGGACCCTGTCTCTACTAAAAATTGAGAAAGGCTGGGTGTGATGACTCGCGCCTGTAATCCCAGCAATTTGGGAGGCCGAGGTGGGAGGATTGCTTGAGGCCAGGAGTTCAAGACCAGCCTGGCCAACATGGCAAAACCCTGTCTCTACTAAAAGTACAAAAATTAGCCAGGTGTGGTGGCACATACCTGTAACCCCAGCTACTTGGGAGGCTGAAGCACAAGAATTGCTTAAACGTGGTAGGCGGGGGTTGCAGTGATCTGAGATCATGCCACTGCACTCTAGCCTGGGCAACTGGAGTGAGGCTCTGTCTCAGAAAAAAAATAATAAATTTTTTTAAAAAAGCACCCATATATTTTGGGGAATCCAGGAAGTCACATGCATGCCCAGGACTGGATGTGTGTTCAGAAAAGACCTTAAGACCATAAGCTTTCTCGAGAACTCTGGCTAATCTCTAGGCTCAGTGAAGGCAGTCAACTCAGAGTTGTAAACAGTTTTAAAAAAGTACCCCGACACAAAGACTGGGAGAAGTGTTTTGTTTTTATTTTTCTCTTGATATTCAAAGAAATCTCTGTCAAAACACTAGTTGAACACAAGCTAAAGAAAAAGACTTGAGGCCGGGCGCGGTGGCTCATGCCTGTAATCCCAGCACTTTGGGAGGCCGAGGCGGGCGGATCACAAGGTCAAGAGATCGAGACCACGGTGAAACCCCGTCTCTACTTAAAATACAAAAAATTAGCCGGGCACGGTTGTGGGCGCCTGTAGTCCCAGCTACTCGGGAGGCTGAGGCAGGAGAATGGCGTGAACCCGGGAGGCAGAGCTTGCAGTGAGCCGAGATCGCGCCACTGCACTCCAGCCTGGGCGACAGAGCGAGACTCCGTCTCAAAAAAAAAAAAAAAAAAAAAAAAAAAAGACTTGAGTGACTGTGCTCGACAAAGAATAGTCTTTGCAAAAATAGTTTGGAAAAGTCACTAAATGAGCATGTGACTCTAGTCTTCAACAATCAAAAACAGCAAAGCCTAGGGGAGGGATACCACATTTTCATATTCAGTTGTGCAGTTTTTAACAAAGCAAAAATCATGAAGCATATAACAAAGCAAGAAAATATGTCCCATTCAAAGGAAAAAAGTAAGCTGCCACAAAGTGTCCTGGAGAAAGCACAGACATTGTACTTAACTAGACAAAAACTTTAAATCAACTGCTTCAAATATGCTCAGAGAGGTAAAAGAAACCATAGAGAACTAGGCTGAACGCAGTGGCTCACGCCTGTAATCCCAGCACTTTGGGAGGCCGAGGCGGGAGATCATGAGGTCAGGAGATCGAGACCATCCTGGCCAACATGGTGAAACCCTGTCTTTACTAAAAATACAAAAAATTAGTTGGGTGTGGTGACAGGCACCTGTAGTCCCAACTACTCTGGAGCCTGAGGCAGGACAATGGTGTGAACCCGGGAGGTGGAGATTGCAGTAAGCCAAGATTGCGCCACTGCACTCCATCCTGGGGGACGGAGCGAGACTCCGTCTCAAGAAAAAAGAACCAGGAAAATGATGTGTGAACAAAATGAATATATCAATAAGAAATGCAATTGTAAAAGAAACATAAAAAGTCTGGAACTAAAAAATGAAGTGGAAATTTTGCTAGAGGGTTTCAGTAGTAGATTTGAGCAGGCAGAAAAATTGGCAAACTTGAAGACAGAACAATTGAAATCAGTCTGAGGAGAAAAAAAAGATCTAAGAAAAGTGAACTTCATGGCTGGGCACGGTGGCTCACCCGTGTAATCCTAGCACTTTGGGAGGCCAAGGCAAGCAGATCACTTGAAGTCAGGAGATCAAGAGCATCTTGGCCAACATGGGGAAACCCCGTCTCTACTAAAAATACAAAAATCAGGCCGGGCACGGTGGCTCAAGCCTGTAATCCTAGCACTTTGGGAGGCCAAGACAGGCGGATCACGAGGTCAGGAGATCGAGACCATCCTGGCTAACACGGTGAAACCCCGTCTCTACTAAAAATACAAGAAAATTAGCCGGGCGAGGTGGCAGGCGCCTGTAGTCCCAGCTACTCGGGAGGCTGAGGCAGGAGAATGGCGTGAACCCGGGGGGGCGGAGCTTGCAGTGAGCCGAGATCGCGCCACTGCACTCCAGCCTGGGGCACAGAGCAAGACTCCGTCTCAAAAAAAAAAAAAAAAAAAAAATCAGCCGGGCATGGTGCACGCGCCTGTAGTCCCAGCTACTCTGGAGGCTGAGGCAGGAGAATCACTTGAACCCGGGAGGCGGAGATTGCATTGAGCCGAAATCGTGCCATTGTACCCCAGCCTGGGTGACAGAGTGAGACTCCGTGTCAAAAAAAAGAAAAAAGAAAAGTGAACTTAATGGACCATGGGACACCATCAAGTAGACCAACATATATAGTAGGGATGTTCAAGAAGGAAAAGAATGGAGAAGGGGATGGAAAAAATATTTGAAGAAATAATGACAGAGTATCCCAAATGTGATGAAAGGCATGTCTACACATGCAAGAAGTTCAACAAACTGAGTAGATTTAAAGAGATCCGCATCAGGTCTCTTTCTAATCAAATTGTTGAAATACAAGGAATCTTGAAAACAGCAAGCGAGGAGCCCTATCCTGAACAAGGGATTCTGGGTAAGATTTCTAGCCAGTTTTTTATCAGAACCCAGAGGTCAGAAGGCACTGGGATGGCTTAAACTGCTAAGAGGGGGGAAAAACCCTGTTAACTAAGAATTCTGTTATCTGGCAAAATTATTCTTCAAAGTGAAGGAGAAATTAAAACATATCCAGATAGATAAAAGCTGAGGAAGCTTGTTACAAATAGGCTGCCCTACAAGAAATGCTTTTAAAGGGAGTCCTAAAGGTTGAAATGAAAGAACACTAGACAGGGACTCAAAGCCATACAAAAATAAAGACCTCCAGTAAAGGTAACTACATGGGTAAGTATAAAAGTTAGTATCCTTGTATTTTGGTTTCTAAGTACATTTTGTATTAGGTTGGTGCAAAATTAATTGTGGTTTTTGCCAATACATATTTCCTAAGTGATCTAAAGGACAAATGCATAAAAGGTCAGCATCATAAGTCTATGTTTTTTACCCCACTATATATAAAGATGTAATCTGTGATGACAGCATAAGTGGGGGTAACATTTGTAGAGAAGCAGAGATTTTGTATGTTACTGAGGCTTAACCGGTCTAAATTGTTTTAGGATGTTAGAACGTTCAGTGCAATCATCATGGTAATCACTAAGAAAATATCTTAAAAATGGGCTTGACACAGTGGCTCACACCTGTAGTCCCAGCACTTTGGGAGGCCAAGGCAGACGGATCACCTGAGGTCAGGAGTTCAAGACCAGCCTGGCCAACATGGCAAAACCCCGTCTCTACTAAAAATACAAAAATTAGCCAGGCATGGTGGTGGACACCTGTAATTCCAGCTACTCAGGAGACTAGGCAGGAGAATCACTGGAACCCAGGAGGCAGAGGTTGAACCCAGGCAGAGGCATGAGATTGTGCCACTGCACTCCAGCCTGGGTGACAGAGCAAAACTCCACCTCAAAAAAAATCTTAAAAATGGGCCGGGCATGGTGGCTCATGCCTGTAATCTCAGCACTTTGGGAGGCCGAGGCAGGTAGATCACGAGGTCAGGAGATCAAGACCATCCTGGCTAACACAGTGAAAACCCATCTCTACTAAAAATACAAAAAAGTTAGCTGGGCATAGTGGCGGGTGCCTATAGTCCCAGCTACTCGAGAGGCTGAGGCAGGAGAATGGCATGAACCCGGGAGGCGGAGCTTGCAGTGAGCCGAGATTGCACCACTGCACTCCAGCCTGGGCGACAGAGTGAGACACTGTCTCAAAAAAAAAAAAAAAAAATCTTAAAAATGGACACAAGAGACCAGGTACAGTGGCTCACGCCTGTAATCCCAGAACTTTGGGAGGCCAGGGTGGGCAGATCATGAGTTCAGAAGATCAAGACCATCCTAGCTAACACAGTAAAACCCCACCTCTACTAAAAATACAAAAAATTAGCTGGGTGCGATGGCACCCACCTGTAGTCCCAGCTACTTAGGAGGCTGAGGCAGGAGAATCCCTTGAACCCAGGAGGCGGAGGTTGCAGTAAGCCGAGACCGTGCCACTGCACTCCAGCCTGGGTGACAGAGCGAGACTGTCTCAAAAAAAAAAATGGACACAAGAAGTAAGGCAAGAATTAAAATGGTACAGTCCAAAAAAGGTAATACGTAGGAATACAGCAGTAGAGGAATTGAGGAACAAAAAGGGAAAAGATTTATCAAAAACATAAAATGGCAGGAGTCCTTCCTTTTGAGTAATTACATGTGAAGTCTCCAGTCAAAAGGCAAATATTGACAGAATGTGTAAGAAAGTACGGTCCAACTATATGCCACAAGAGGCTTTAGATTCAAAGACATAACAAGTTTAAAGTGA